GGCTCTCCATCTCATGTCAGCGCGCATTCAGCCCTTCTGATGTTAAAAAAAACCCTTCTGATGTTATAAAGATCTGCAGCCAGTTCTGGGCTCCAATTGGTCAGATTACACGTCAGTCAGATCGGCCATTACAGACTCTGTGAACTCTGACACCTCTGCGTCACCACAGTGGGCAAGAGAGAGGGGGGTCTCCATCCGGTTGGCCAGCCAGTGGTCTCTGGGCGTTGTAGTTCGAGGACGCGAGAATTGGAGCCTTTTCTCCGCCACGGAAGAGTTGTAGCGAACGCGACTCGGATCATATTAGTCTATGATTATCAAATTACAAGTTATATATGATGAAGAATGGTCAGCGGCGCCGTGGAGCATTCAGCCCTTCTGATGTTATAAAGATCTGCAGCCAGTTCTGGGCTCCAATTGGTCAGATTACACGTCAGTCAGATCGGCCATTACAGACTCTGTGAACTCTGACACCTCTGCGTCACCACAGTGGGCGAGAGAGAGGGGGGGTCTCCATCCGGTCGGCCAGCCAGTGGTCTGTGGCTGTTGTAGTTCGTGGACGCGAGAATTGGAGGCTTTTCTCCGCACGGAAGAGTTGTAGCGAACGCGACTCGGATCATATTAGTCTATGATTATCAAATTACAAGTTATATATGATGAAGAACGGTCAGCGGCGCCGTGGAGAGGAGTGGGCGCGTGTCTGGGGAGGCTTTAGGAGTGAGTCTCCGTGTGTTTGAGAGCTGTTTCTTTGTTATGAAAAGTGTTAGCTATACTAGCAATCGGATACATTGTTTGCTGACAGAAAAATAGAGTACATTATGCATTTCAGTAAGTATACAGTAAATATACATGGATTATTTACAGTGCGGTGTGAAAGAGCTGATATATGTTTGTTTGACGCTGTGAATGTAGAGATAGCTGCCTGCTAGCAAATTAGCCCAGCTCTGGACCAGAGAGGCAGGCCACGCTGGATGCAGGGATGATACAGAGATGCGGTGCTCAACTGATGCTGAGGTGAGAGATGCTGTGATCAGTATCCCAATACAGAATGCATATAAATGGAATGATATAAAGCTGGAGGATATGGATTCTATTTTAGATTGATATAGACCAGATATAGAGCATCCTGAAAGAATTAAACTGAGTGTAGAAATCACAATATGAGAAATTTGGTCCAATTCGCTTGTGCCATTTTGTATATTATTACTTAGAAAAACATAAACATGGAACATAATTCAATCAATTAAAGTGCTTATGGCACAGAGTACAATAGGATTGTGGGGTTAATGTGTTTTATAAAGCCTGTTTTTGCAAAGAAAACTCACCATGACACATTTAGATGCAAAAATAGACATTTTCACTCGCTTCACAAATAATGTTCTAACTCCTGTTTAGAAGCTGTTATTTGAAAGATTATTTTTTCTGGTACTTTTTGGCATGTAGTGGCATCAAACAAAGTAAATTGCAGAGAGTTGAGCCTAAAAGAACCTGAATTACAGAATTTCAAAAATATATATTTTTTTAAAGCACCTATATTTTTTTGTGTTTATTGTAATATTTGAAAAATATATAAGGTTATTTATAAAAAATTACACTCATATTTTGTAGTTCGAAGGGTTTTCTTTACAATGAAACCATTTTTTTTTATTTCCTCCATTGTATGTGTGTAGGGTAAACATTTGAATTTGAGTATGAAACATTTAGGCGAAAATACCAAAAACGCCCCAGAGAATAAGTGGTTAAATTGCATTTTAGTCTGGTTTTAAGTTATATAAGAATTAATAAATATATTTATTAACCATTTATAATGTGAGTTAAACTGACTCACTATTTGCACTCTCGTTGACTGCCGTCTGTAGCGGTGCTTCAAGTCGAACGCACCTATAAGGTCCCACAGTATTATCAGCAGTTTTGCATTGCTCAATAGCTAATTAAATGGCGAATTCGCCAGGCAAAACCATCTCTACATTATTGTCATGAACTCCACAAGTTATGTGACTGACTCACGAACAAGTCAGATGGGAACTTCATCCCCAAGAAGGATATCGAGAGATCACGCATCCACTTCACAGCTGCTATGTTTCACTCTCTCGAACGTCTTCACAAGCTAAGTCCCATTTAATGCTCTCAGGTTATCTGCAACATGCGTGTTGCTAAGGCTATCTGTGTTGCTTGGGCTCATTAAGTTATTTTTTTTCCCAGTTAAATGCTTGTGCTAGTTCATGCATGTGCGTTAGGCTACTTATCTGTTGTCACGGGCAACACGCTTGTTGTTGCAATATGCTGCGCTTAACGGGGGTAGTGTCATTTCATGCATTCTGAGTTATTTACACTGTTATGGCAAGCTGTTTTAGCTTAAATTGTTCCCAGCCTTACTCGTCGTAATTGCATTTTTACTAGTAACAATGCCAATTAGAGAGCTCTCTAAATCAATTCTTACTAGTAACAATTATAATTAGAGAGCTCTCTAATTTAATTAGAGAGCTCTGCAACTGCATTCTTACTAGTAAGATCTGAATTAGAGAGCTCTCTAATTCAGATCTTACTAGTAAGAATGCAGTTGCAGAGCTCTCTAATTAAATTAGAGAGCTCTCTAATTATAATTGTTACTAGTAAGAATTGATTTAGAGAACTCTCTAACTGACATTGTTACTAGTAAGAATTTAATTGTAGAGCTCTCTAATTGAATTGTTACTAGTAAAAATGCAATTACGACGAGTAAGGCTGGGAACAATTTAAGCTAAAACGGCTTGCCATACACTGTTAATTAAGAGTTGGATTCTTATGCGCGTGCGCGCACTCAGCGACCAAGCAAGAGCAAGAGCGCGCCACTTAACGTGTTTCTGTCATGGTTACGGAAGTCTTCAGCAGCGCCGCAGTTACTTGCTCGAGTTACTACACTTTCTGCTCCTGGTAATGACGCTCTCGCAGTGATTGCACATTCACAGATGAAACTAATTAAATGCAACATTTGTCAAATGCACACAAATACAGTGTTCCTGTGGCTCAGTGGTAGAGCATTGCGTTAGCAGCGCAAAAGGTCGTGGGATCAATTCCCAGGGAACACATACTGGTAAAACATGTATAGCCTGAATGCACTGTAAGTCGCTTTGGATAAAAGCGTCTACTAAATGCGTAAATGTGAATATACAGATGTTTCAGAATGTTTTCATAAAGCAACAGAAACCCTTTTTATACTGCTTAATACAGCGCCATCTGTTCATGAATAAGTTAAACATTAACATATGCTATTTAAATGCCAATTAAGTGGGGGTGTATATGCTTTCATCAGTGTTTTCGAAACATGACTCAAAATAACTGTGCGACTATCTAAAAAATGCTTTTACTGTTATATAAACACCGATTTGTGAGCATTGGAATTGAATTGTTAGAATAAGCATGCAACACACATCGTGCTTGTCATCACAGAATCTAACCAATGAGAATAAAGTGTGTCGTCATCAAGGCTTTTGCGTGCATGACCTAGGCGGCTGGTCCCGTTTTGCTCTCGCGGTACTTTGAATGCACACGTGATCGTAGGGCGGCTGCAGCGCCGATCAAAGTTGGACAAAAGTATTTTAATGTTACCAGAATGCATTGGTTTTGACAGGCGGCAGCCGATCTTCGCGGCACTGCATGAAGTCAAACAAGCCTAATATCTCTAAAGAGTGTGTTTTTGGATGTGAGAAAAAGATAACCTTATTCAGTGTTATGTGAACAGTGGATGCAATTTGTTTTCCAAGGCAGCAACGGAGTTTCTCAAGTGCGTTTATCTGTTTCCGTCATTTCGGTGACAAATGTTTTATAACAAGGTACATTCTGTCACTGGACTTGCACAGTGTCTGGAAGATAAGCCCCAGCGATCAACGATCCCAGTCATATAAGAACTGCTGTAAAACTGCATGAAATGTCTGTGATTAGTAAGTGTAAGTGCTCGCGACTCTGCTCCGCCCACGGCTCGCCTCTGGGAGCTTGGCTGTTTTCGGAGAGAATCGCAAGCTGTATCTTTCTTTTATAAATCTGATAAAACTGAAGACTCCGGAGATGTGAATGATGCAATACTACAATTATAGGCATTCAAGATAACATGTGTTATGACAAGATGTTATGTCCCCTTTAACCTAGGGCATCTTTTCTGCTGCGGCGCATCTCCAAGAGAAATTGGTAAACGGTTGTATAAAAGGCTCCTGGAGAAAGGAAGTTTTATTGAGGGACTCCTATTTGATAGTTTGTTGAGCGCATTTCCAGGTACATCCAGTAGGAGGCATTATTGTACAAGTTTTCTGCCTGTTGCCTCATTGTGTTATTACTGAGAGAAAGGCAGCTGCGCACTTAGTTTTCCTGCCTATTATTTTGGATGTTTGTTGGCGTTTGGTGTTTCAAAGTGTTAGTTCATGACCATAAAGTAAGTTTCTTCAATTTCCATATGTTGTTAAATGTGTTTGAACTTTGTAGTTTACACTGGCATGTACGGACATGTAACGATTCACGTGTGATCGTTCGATAGATAAACAAGATATGCTATGTAATTTCTGCGAAATACAGAGTTAGATGTTACCGTTTACATAGTAATCGGTCTGTAATCAGTCAAGTTTGATAATGTGGAAGGATTAACCAGTATTACTGCCTTCCTGATGTTATTTGGGAATTAATGCACGGCTTGTTAATGCACCTGGATTTATTAATATATATATATTAATCCTGAAATAATTTTATGGGACCAGACCAATGGTTATATCGTCTCCAATTGCATCCTCTACATACTGAAAACTTCAGCTGTTGTTTAGATTATATTGGAAATGTTAGTATTCTTGATTAGGAAGTGCCTGATGTATGTGTGAACATGTACCTGTTTATTTATACTGTTATGTTTTGTTATTTTTAGACTAATATTCAATACACTTTGGAAAGAAGCTCCAGTCTCCTCATTCTTTGTGTCCTGACCGACACACCAGGAGTGTATACTGCTGATAGTTAGAACCAGAGCCTAGCAGTCTTATTTCCTCTCCAACAACGGTCATTGTTCAGTTGAAGTCGTCTGCATCCGGAAACCTCAGAAAATCAGCTAATGGCTAAGCAGGCAGCATTGTTCATGAAGGTAACTCATGCAACTGGGGAACATGCTTGTCCCAGAGCTATCTGGTTGTTATTCGGAACATGCTTGTTCTGAAAGCTGTAGAAAGAGAAAGGAAAACTTGAAATCGCATCATATGACCCCTTTAAGTCTAGCTGGTGTTATTGAGAATGCTGCTTAAACTTTTAAGGTATTGGCAACCTATTCACTGGTCAACTGTTAAAGGCAACAGAATTTATGCTACAGGTTATGCGGGTTTGGCAACATATTTGATTGGTCATTGGTTAAGGGCAACATGCTTGTTGCTTAAGGCTTTGAGATTTGCTATTAGTTTGTGTTGGGGGATATCAGCATATGGTTTTGTTCTGGGGGGTTATCGCTGCTCTCCCTGCTCTCATCCATGCTAGGCTGCATGGAGGCGCAGGGAGTTCTTGCCCAGAATGGAACCATACTGCCAATCCAAACTGTATGCTAATTGTCAATCATCTTTGACGATAGTGGTCCTGACAGAATTACATTTCCACTAGTAATATGGCAAGCCGTTTTAGCTTAAATTGTTCCCAGTGTTACTCGTCGTAATTGCATTTTTACTAGTAAGAATTCAGTTAGAGAGCTCTATAATTCAATTCTTACTAGTAACAATTATGATTAGAAAGCTCTGCAATTGCATTAGAGAGCTCTCTAATTCAATTATTACTAGTTACAATTAGCATTAAAGAGCTCTGCAATTGCATTACAGAGCTCTTCAATAGTAATTGTTACTAGTAATAATTGAATTAGAGAGCTGTCTAAATCAGTTCTTACTAGTAAGAATTACAAGTAAAGAGCTCTTTAATACAAATCTTACTAGTAAGAAAGCATTTGCAGAGCTCTCTAATTCAATTAGAGAGCTCTGCAATTGAATTGGAGAGCTCTGCAATTGCATTCTTACTAGTAACAATTGAATTAAAGAGCTCTCTAATCGTAATTCTTACTAGTAATAACTGAATTAGAGAGCTCTACAATTCAATTCTTGCTAGTAACAATTATGATTAGATAGCTCTGTAACTACTTTTTACTAGTAAAAACTCGTATTCATTAGATGCAAAACAGATTACACCCATTTCCTTGCCAAATCATACTTTTCAAAATAAAAGCCCTGCGACGGATTTCGTTGTTTTTTTTGTTGTTTTTTCCCCCACAGAGGGAAAGTGCTTGGATATATTTTTTTAATTGATGCTCAAAACACAAGTTTAAATAAATATAAGAAACTAAGAGAATAAAAAAAATTACAATTAAATAACTAATAATTGACATAATTAAATTATTAAAACATATTGACAAATTATGAGTCCAAAAGTGGAGTTTTTAATGCTTCTTCTCTGCAAACCCAGTACACAATCAAATTCCTGAATATAACAAATCATGTACAGCCTTAGGTTGTTCATAATCCGTAACAAAATGATCCAAAAGTGGAGTTAGAGCAGTCAGAGTGCATGCATGGTCATTTTTGCATTTTTTTCCCTCAGGGCACGCGTTTATATCCGGTACATCCTTCTTGTGGATACACCCCTTACGTTGAACACAGAACAGATATGGAAGCATTATCCGTTGTTAATGCAGTCAGAAGAAAAATGTTATCAATCAAACGAAATTTTCTTCGTGGGAACTGCACGTTTTATGATTTAAGGGTGATCAACTCGTTGCTTAACAATGTACAAAGAATAAGCCAAGATGATCCAGAGAAATACAGTGAACTCATTGACAGTCTGAGGTTATTACGGACAGCCATCACATCGAGGCCCCGCTCATACGAACAGGTTGGTTTAACGTTACTGTAGGAGCCAAATGTAATTTTTAACCACTAGATGGCGGTGTGGAATGGGAGGAGTTGGTGTGTGTCATTGGTGTATATCATATGACATTTAAACCCTCATGGTTGTGTGTGTGGAGAGGGTAACAAGTGGCGGGAATACATGGTTCTTACCATATCCTAAGATCTATTAAACCATGAATCCATATGTTTATTTGTAAGCTGCATTCGTTCATTAAATGAACAAAGCAAGAAACTGATAGTGGCATGGACAATGACTTTATTTCCAACTTATGAGTAAAGAACGTCTTACCACCTGTTCCTGGGTGGTTAGGAAGCCACCACAGCTTCAACTGTTTTGTCATGTGGGCAAGTCTCGGGCACACAAATCCTGTTTGGTAGTAATTTTGTCTGTATTTTTATCTAAAAAAGTAAAATAGGTTTCAATAGTTTTACTATACCATAATGTAAATTAAAAAATTTAAATATGTTGCATAATAGGTGCATATTTATTTACAGTTTTTTTTGGAGCCCACTGTCATGTTGCTCCCATATCTCAATTTTCTACTTATTTACTTTCTTCTGTGTTGGTTGGTGGTGGTTTGAAAGGGTCAGGCTGCTTCACGATTCCTTTTTTCTGCACTGGCCTTCCTTCTGTCTCCATTATGGAATCAAGTCCAATGTCTTCTCACTCAGTAAAGCGATCATATTAGAAGATTTACATTTTTAATTCTCAATAAAACCATTCTCTTAAAACATCTTCCCACATGCATTTTCCCCAGTAGTTATTGAATTAAAGCAGCACACAAAAGCAAGCAAAATTCCATGCAGAATTAATTTGAATTTAAATTAGTTTCAAGCAACAAACAGCAATGAAAATGACATTTTAGAAACTCAAAAATATAGAAACACGGAAACAGACCTGATGCTTTGCATTTTTTTGTTTTGTTAGAATTGTTCATTTTTATCTTAGAAGTAAGGCATTTGTTGTTGTTGGATTTCTGAGAAACGTAAACACTGTGGGTCTGTAGTATATCTATGGGAATTTAATAATACACTTGAAGTGTATAATCTTGATTCACTATTTTTTTTATTACCGTTTTAAATGTAAAAGTCCGTTTGGTGATGCTAGTAGCACAAAAATGGCACACTTTACCTTTAAAACCTCTTGCACTAACGTTCATTTGTTACATTATGACTGTCCCAGGGTCCACCGCTGGCTTCACAACAAATGTGTGTGTCAAACCATGTGGCTCTTTCTTTATCCCATAGATGATGCATAGAAACACAGGAACCCAGGCATTCCTGGCCAGATGATGGGATGAAAGACGGCCTGCATGGTAGGCTCATGATGATGACGATAGCTATTAGCATACCAGCGCCTGGCTAAAGCCTTTGTGAAGCTTTAGTGAAAAGCTCTGCGAGGATATACCATTGAGTGACCTTTCAGTTAACAGCTAAATAAGTCAACTATTGGCATGAAAATTACAGTCTTAGATACAGTAATAAAATATAACAAAAGACACATGATAATAAGTCACTTTTATTTAATATATTTTTACAGCTTTATTTAAACAAACGTGTTGAAAAGGATAGTTTTAACTAGTAAATTGCTTACAACAACTTAATGCTATATTAACCAAACTGAATCAGTTGTGGTGTATAAATTGTTTTATTATTATTATTATTAACAATGCAAGGCTAATTTAACAAAACATGGGTTGATTACTGAATAACCCTTATAAATTAATAATAATAAAAAGCAATAATAATTATTATTATTTACTAATTAATAATTAATTATTATTTTTTTCATAAGTTACTGTATAGCAGGTTAGGTTAACCTTCTGGCTGTCTAAACTGGACAGGAACAGATGAACGGTTTGGGTATTGCGCATGGTACATCACTGAACGCCAGATCATCTGAAAATAGACAAAGCTTTGTAAAAACTGGTAAAGACAGATCATGAAAAGAGGAAGGCATCACTACAAAAGGAACACAGAGAATAAAACTTAGGTGAAGGAGTTAATATTTATATATTATTCCTTTGGATCTGTGCAATGAATGTGACTTTTTATTGACAGATTTTTGTTAACTGTTGTTCAGTAGCAACACTTACTCCACGTCTCCACGCAATTCTCCATCCCACCAGCATTATTGGGCTCTCCAAAAGCCCAGCCATTATAGCTCCACTGCGTTCCATCCAACCAAACAAAATTATTTGTCTGTCAAAACAGGAAAGTGACTTACTAGAGGGACAGATATGGTGGAGAAATGAATAAACCATGTGAAAAAGTGAAACACTGCAAAACAAATGAACATACACCAATGATTCTCCGTCCTCCAAGCCATGCGCGAGTGCGCCCGCCATACCGGTCCATTAACTTGCCCATTCCGTCACGAATGTAGCTGCTTGTCACAGAGGCCAGGTGGCCATTGGGGCAGATAGATTGACATTGTAACTAAAGGGAAACATTTTATAAAATGAAAATAAAATAGAAATACTGTTTCATTATGTCATTAACCAGGATATGTTTTCAGCAATTACATTTTAAGTGTAATTTGTAATTTAATTTAAGTGTAAGAATGTATTATTATTATCATTATTTTCTAAATCTTTGAAATGTGCGTGTGTATGGTTTTTATTTAAAAAAATCTACCGGACATGTACTGTATGAAATCAAACATAAATGTCGCTTGATGATTGTTCTCTTTGATTTACATTTCCTGCCAGAACCATATTACTCTAAATAAACAAATAAGCTTCATAACAGGTTTTCTATCATTCTAACAAGTGAAAATGACATTAATACCTCAGCAGTATAGGCATCAAGGTTTCTTGTGAAGTACTGGTAACATTTGCCCTGTAGGACAACTCCTCTACAAGTCCATCTCCCTGTGGACATATCACCACACTACAATCACCAATCCATATCGCAAAGCTTACATTACACGTGACGTCACACTAGCTTGATAAAGGCAGCTGTTCAGTGATCCTGAACAATGCAGTATTCAGTGCATTTGGCCAAGTAGTATCAAACCTGTTTGCTACTTGTACACAGTGATAAAACTAATATAATCTGAGGTGGTTTACCAATCTGTGTCCTTCGTCTTTCCCTCCCAAGTTCCATTTGTATTTCTGGATCTTCAACCTCTATATAATCAGCCTCAAGTGTAGGCTCCTCCTTTACTACATTTTCTTCTTTTTCATCTTCCACCTCTATATTAGTTTCAGACTCTAACTGTTGTACAGCTTCCTCCACAGGTATGATGTTTCTGTTCATCTGAATGGCAGTTATTTCTGGCTCAGGCTCTAGTTCTGTCTCTGGCATCTCTTCAGTCAGGTAATCTGCCTCTAGCATCGGTTCCTCCAACATCACTTGTGTCTCTTCTGGTACTCTGTGTTCCTCTGTTGTCTCTGGCCCCAGCAGCACTGAATCAGGCTCCAACATACGTGAATCTGCAACAGTTTCATCCTGCATCAGAGGACCTTGCTCTGCTTCTGTGTGCTCTACCCTTGGTTCTTTCTCAACCGCCGGCACCTTCAATCCATGCTAGGCTGCATGGAGGCGCAGGGAGTTCTTGCCCAGAATGGAACCATACTGCCAATCCAAACTGTATGCTAATTGTCAATCATCTTTGACGATAGTGGTCCTGACAGAATTACATTTCCACTAGTAATATGGCAAGCCGTTTTAGCTTAAATTGTTCCCAGTGTTACTCGTCGTAATTGCATTTTTACTAGTAAGAATTCAGTTAGAGAGCTCTATAATTCAATTCTTACTAGTAACAATTATGATTAGAAAGCTCTGCAATTGCATTAGAGAGCTCTCTAATTCAATTATTACTAGTTACAATTAGCATTAAAGAGCTCTGCAATTGCATTACAGAGCTCTTCAATAGTAATTGTTACTAGTAATAATTGAATTAGAGAGCTGTCTAAATCAGTTCTTACTAGTAAGAATTACAAGTAAAGAGCTCTTTAATACAAATCTTACTAGTAAGAAAGCATTTGCAGAGCTCTCTAATTCAATTAGAGAGCTCTGCAATTGAATTGGAGAGCTCTGCAATTGCATTCTTACTAGTAACAATTGAATTAAAGAGCTCTCTAATCGTAATTCTTACAAGTAATAACTGAATTAGAGAGCTCTACAATTCAATTCTTGCTAGTAACAATTATGATTAGATAGCTCTGTAACTACTTTTTACTAGTAAAAACTCGTATTCATTAGATGCAAAACAGATTACACCCATTTCCTTGCCAAATCATACTTTTCAAAATAAAAGCCCTGCGACGGATTTCGTTGTTTTTTTTGTTTTTTTTTCCCCCACAGAGGGAAAGTGCTTGGATATATTTTTTTAATTGATGCTCAAAACACAAGTTTAAATAAATATAAGAAACTAAGAGAATAAAAAAAATTACAATTAAATAACTAATAATTGACATAATTAAATTATTAAAACATATTGACAAATTATGAGTCCAAAAGTGGAGTTTTTAATGCTTCTTCTCTGCAAACCCAGTACACAATCAAATTCCTGAATATAACAAATCATGTACAGCCTTAGGTTGTTCATAATCCGTAACAAAATGATCCAAAAGTGGAGTTAGAGCAGTCAGAGTGCATGCATGGTCATTTTTGCATTTTTTTCCCTCAGGGCACGCGTTTATATCCGGTACATCCTTCTTGTGGATACACCCCTTACGTTGAACACAGAACAGATATGGAAGCATTATCCGTTGTTAATGCAGTCAGAAGAAAAATGTTATCAATCAAACGAAATTTTCTTCGTGGGAACTGCACGTTTTATGATTTAAGGGTGATCAACTCGTTGCTTAACAATGTACAAAGAATAAGCCAAGATGATCCAGAGAAATACAGTGAACTCATTGACAGTCTGAGGTTATTACGGACAGCCATCACATCGAGGCCCCGCTCATACGAACAGGTTGGTTTAACGTTACTGTAGGAGCCAAATGTAATTTTTAACCACTAGATGGCGGTGTGGAATGGGAGGAGTTGGTGTGTGTCATTGGTGTATATCATATGACATTTAAACCCTCATGGTTGTGTGTGTGGAGAGGGTAACAAGTGGCGGGAATACATGGTTCTTACCATATCCTAAGATCTATTAAACCATGAATCCATATGTTTATTTGTAAGCTGCATTCGTTCATTAAATGAACAAAGCAAGAAACTGATAGTGGCATGGACAATGACTTTATTTCCAACTTATGAGTAAAGAACGTCTTACCACCTGTTCCTGGGTGGTTAGGAAGCCACCACACAAAGTAAGAACCATCTCCGACTAAGAATTACTGTTGGAATAAAGGAGAATTTCCTTGCGCATAGGAGAAAATGGAGGAATTCTGTGAATGGAAACATTGACTTGCGCATCGGCAGATTGAGTGACTACTATTGGAGTGTGGATCGCTTGCCTGGTGTGTTGCAGAGTCTTGGCGTCTTGAACCAGACAGAGTGTGTAAGCTTTAAACTTGATAATGCAGAGAAGTTTCAGACGCTCGACAAAACGCCAGTGAGTGCACCTCTCTTTTTGAGCGATATGGCTATATCGCATTATGAGATTGATCCGTTGATCCACGAAGAAATTTGAATCACAGCCTGTTTGGAATGCTCTATTTTAAATAATGATTTGGCTTGCTGCACGTCGTTGTGTTGAATTGGATCGCACTCTGCTTGCTCTGTGGCTTGCTTGAAATGTGCTCTTGAAAGCGCTTGTGTGCACAATGAGTGTTGTGGGAAAGATGAATAGCGATGAATTGCCTATTGCAAAGGATGATTCCGATGTGTCTGAAAATAAGTCCATGGTTGATATTGCTGTTGAAAAAAATAATGCTGTTGAAACTGAGAAAAGAGCAAGGAAAATGACTGAAAAGGGTGTCTCATTGAGCATTGAAAATTTGCAACGGCAACGCAAATCAAAGTTCACTCAAGTAAATAAAGTTAAACATAGAGTTAATTATCTTCTTTCTGGAAAGCTGACCAAAGGAACGGTTTCTGATGTGCAAAAGTATTTTAAGAGTTTTGAAACATTGTGTGCTGATGCCATTGAAACTCATAATTCATTGCTGGAAATGCCAATGTCTAAACCGGAGTATGAAAAGCAGCAAAGGTGGCTTGTCTGCACAATGAAAGAACATAATGAATTTATCACAGACGTTAAACAGTGGTTATCAGATGCTGGAGTGTCATATAATGATGGAGGTGATGATGCAATGTCTATAACAGACACCAGTATAAATCCTGATGACAGTGTATCAAATGCTACAAAGAAGGGATCTCAATGCAAAACTTTTTCAATCTTTTTGAGAAGTTGTTTAAATGTAATGGAAGATTTGCAGCAAATGGAAGAGATGAATGTCCGATCTAATCTTCGACTCATTGTTATGAAGCTGCCATACAAGTTTCGAGAAAAATGGAGGGCTGCTGCCTGTGAGTTACAGGAGCGTCGAGGCAACAGGGCCATGTTTTCAGATTTGGTGAACTTCATTGAGCGTCAAGTAAAGATTCTTTCTGATCCATTGTTCGGAGATTTGCAAAGTGGACAAATGGCTTCTTCATTTCGTGGCAAACCTAAGTCTAAACTTACCAGTAAGGGCCTTGCTACTGTTTCAGCTGTTAACACCGTGTCAGATTGGTGTCCATCTGAAGTACAAAATACCTGTACTAATCCTGTTCAACAGAAAGGCGACAACAAGATGTGTTTTGCTTGTAAGGGCAGTCATTCATTGGAAAGGTGTTCTCGTCTAAAGAGCGTGACACACCGAGAAAAACTGAGCATTTTGAAAGAAAATAGATCCTGTTTTGGATGTCTAAAGACTGGACATGTAAGCAAGGATTGTAAAAACCCATTGATTTGTGATGTCTGTAAGCAAAGGCATCCAACCCTACTTCATATGGAAACTAAAGTGAAATCACCATCATTACCAGTAAACAATGTTCTTGTTATTTTGCAAGCTTGTGGTCAGACTGGGGCCGGGAACAAACAGTGTGTCCTATCTATCATACCAGTACAGATCAAGGCAAAGTCTGGTAGCAAGATTGTAGATACCTTTGCGTTTTTGGATCCTGGGAGTTCTGCCAGTTTTTGTACAGAACATCTTATGAGAAAATTGAACCTTACAGGAATAAGAAGCTCCATATTGCTCCGCACTTTAGGCCAGGAAAGGTCAGTAGACACATTCATGCTCCGAGGTCTTCAAATTTCACACTTAGACGGACAGACCTTCATGGATCTACCAGAGTTGTATACTCAAGGATCAATGCCTGTAAGCAAGAATAACGTTCTCACCCAGGAGGACTTAAAGGATTGTCCATATCTGGAGGGTATCAAAATTCCCAGTATCAATAAAGAGGTTGAGCTGTTGATCGGTATTAATGCATCAAATCTAATGGAGCCATGGGAAATCATTAACAGCCAAGGCGGGGGGCCCTATGCTGTCAAGACCCTATTGGGGTGGGTCGTGAATGGGCCTCTAAGAGGTTGTAATAGTGACAGAGGAAAGATTGGCTGTCCTGTAGTCACTGCCAATAGGATCTCCGTCGCCAGGTTGGAGGAATTGTTGGTTGCTCAATATAATCAAGAATTTAATGAGAAGCTGTCCGAGGATGATGTAACCATGTCAAGAAATGATCAACAGTTTATGGAAATAATGGAAATCTCTAACAAGTTTGAAGCTGGTCATTATTGTATAGACTTACCTTTTAAGTCTTCTGATGTAATCCTGCCAAACAATTGCAGTGTTGTAGAACAGCGTGTCCTGAGTCTGAAAAGGAAGTTTAAAAGAAATCGAGAATATCAGCAAGAGTACACAACATTTCTTTCTGATGTTATTGCCAAAGGATATGCAGAGGTAGTACCCCCTCATCAGTTGAAACGAGAAGATGGTAAGGTCTGGTACATACCGCATCACGGCATATATCATCCTAAGAAGAAAACTCTAAGAGTTGTGATCGATTGTGGTGCAGTGTATAAAAGAATATCTTTGAATTGTCAGTTGTTGCAGGGTCCCTACCTTACCAACTCTCTGCTGGGAGTTCTAACGAGGTTCAGACAGGAGCCTGTTGCTTTGATAGCTGATATACAAGCCATGTTTCACCAGGTGAAGGTTTCTCAGAAGCATGTAGACTTTCTGCGATTTCTATGGTTTCCTGGAGATGATGTGACACAGGATGCTATGGAATATAGAATGAAAGTACATATGTTTGGAGCAGTGTCCTCACCTAGCTGTGCCAATTACGCATTAAGGAGGATTGCGCAAGATTGTCAAGCACAGTTTGACTCCTGTGTTTTGAATACCATTCTTCAGAACTTCTATATGGATGACTGCGTTAATCTTTGCCTACAGAAGATGAAGCATTTCATATGGCTCAGAATCTCATTACTGCTTGTGCCAAAGGAGGATTTCAGTTGTCAAAGTGGATGAGCAACAGTCGCTTTATGTTGAGCATTCCAGAGGAATATAGATCCAAGTCAATTAAAGAACTTGATTTGGATAAAGATGATCTGCCAATGGAA